GTTAAAAGCGCTATATAAATAAAGGTGACTTGACTTGACTTTTTCATAAGTGTGGGTAAGGAAACATTACATGTCACTATTGATCTCAGTTCATTTATTTGGAATATGTGCACTCATACAAGGTATTGGTATGTGTAAAGGTATCTACTAAAAAGTAGTAATGGTGTTGAAAATATACTTCACCTGTGAGGTGTGTGAATGGGGGCTTTAACAGGCCTCACAGGGGAAGGTGACTGATGGCGCGTAGCTGCGACCTTTGACACTCCTCCCGGTGGGGTTGGGGACTTGGTGGTCGGCTTAGGAGGCACACGGGGTGGTGCCTTGTGAGCCAAATCACCATCCTCTATTTGCATTTCCATCATGGCTGTGGACTCAAAAGAGGCCTCCATTCTCTGTGAAGGACATGTAACACTGAGTTAACATGTTCTTTGGCAGTTAGCTTCAGGTGGGATTTTGTCAGGATGTTAACTACCTTTTCAACTCTAGCCTGGCGAGTCTGTGAAATCTGAGAAGTTGAAACAAAAGTCTTGGTCTTCTTTGCAGGCACTGCAACCTCCTCACCTGAAATGTAAAAAATACACATATAAAAAAGATACATGCATACATACATTCACATATATATGTATATAGTATAGGCCTACCCTATATCAAAAAATATCAAGTTAATTTATTTAATTTGGAAATCAAATCAAACCTTGAACCAGAAGTTCAGCTGTAGAGGTAGTACGTCCACTGCTGTTGGAAGCACTGACAGAACTGACAGAATAATCTTCTGGGAAGGCCTCAGCAATCAACAAACTGTAAAGGTCTCCGTCTTGAACAATCTGAACAATCTGAGAGCTCTGAATCTCAGCTCCCTCTCTGTAGAACTTCACCACAGGTGTAGGGATTCCTGTCACTCGAACATCTAGTCTCACTTGGCTCCCTTGTCTCACAGTCATACTCTGTAGTCTCTGAATGAAGTTTGGTGGCGCAGTTTCAGCTGGAAGTGAATAGATGGTTAAAGCCATTAAGTGATTTTTCTGAAATTTAACAGAACAGTTTCACACATTCTATTTTAGAGGATAAAATAAACCTTGCCTTGCATGTTCAATATAAATGCACATAAATCTATTTTAAAGGGACCTTTAAATTATTTTTTAAAAGAAGATTTTCATTTCCTGAAGAAAATATTAGTGCTTGCAAGACG